GTTCTATCGCGCGATAAGTTGTTCTATCGCGCGAAAAGTTGTTCTATCGCGCGATAAGTTGTTCTATCGCGCGATAAGTTGTTCTATCGCGCGATAAGTTGTTCTATCGCGCGATAAGTTGTTCTATCGCTCGATAAGTTCTTCTATCGCGCCAAAAAAATTTTCTATCGCGCGATAAGTTGTTCTATCGCGCGATAAGTTGTTCTATCGCGCGATACAGTGTTCTATCGCGCGATAAGTTGTTCTATCGCGCGATAAGTTGTTCTATCGCGCGATAAGTTGTTCTATCGCGCGATAAGTTGTTTTATCGCGCGATACAGTGTTCTATCCCGCAATACAGTGTTCTATCGCGCGATAAGTTGTTCTATCGCGCGATACAGTGTTCTATCGCGCGATAAGTTGTTCTATCGCGCGATACAGTGTTCTATCGCGCGATAAGTTGTTCTATCGCGCGATACAGTGTTCTATCGCGCGATAAGTTGTTCTATCGCGCGATACAGTGTTCTATCGCGCGATAAGTTGTTCTATCGCGCGATACAGTGTTCTATCGCGCGATAAGTTGTTCTATCGCGCGATACAGTGTTCTATCGCGCGATAAGTTGTTCTATCGCGCGATACAGTGTTCTATCGCGCGATAATGTTGATTGAAAATTTTTTGAATGAATGGGCTTAGCAAAACTTATCGCGCGATAAAGTCATGAAAATTTTTGTAGGTGGATGGCCCTTGAGAGCCACCGTAGTAATCGCTGCACATGCAATGTTCTTCAATAAAAGTACGTGTGTGAAGCCGTATATTATAAAGAAACCAAGAAGACAACAAACTGCATTAACAAGGAGTTCTCTTCTTTCTTCCTTCCTTTTTGTACCAGAAACAAATATTCGACAGTATATCAACGATGGTCAACTCATTCTGGAGAAGAGACACAGCCAAGTTTGTCTTGTTACAAGTTCTTGTTACCAATTCTCTATTTTGTCTCTCATCAGTCACGGGTGGTGCCGCAAAATGTAATACCAAAACAGGTAGGTATTTAACCTCTTACCCAGGTCTTTTTCTTTCTTTTTTTTTTTATTATGAATATAATGATCAGTAAACCCTTTTTTTAATTGTTGACACTTCATTCCATGAGAGAATTTTACTCACTGAATTCTGTGCTCCGCAAACTTACTAGTGATCTACCGGTTGTTAAAATTTGTGGGTTTTAAATTTCTTTCCTCGTCCAGTTATACCTGAAGTTAATATCTCCTCAAGTCCGCCAGACCGCACACAACCTATCGGAGCAGCCATAAGTCTGATTTGTGAAGCGAGGTCAAGGGCTGCTGACAAATTATATCCCAGGAGATTCGTCAAGTTTATTCAGTGGTATGATCCTAATGGGACGCCAATAGGAGTCAAATGCCAGCCTAAGCAACCACTAAATAAACTGAGTTGTCCGTTACTTCTTAAGAATCTGACTGAAGAAAACTTTGGGAACTACACTTGTGAAGCAGAAAATGACTATGCTGGATACTGCAGGAGAAAATCAATCGAAATTCGTCGTAAAGGTTAAAGAAGGAAAATTCCAAAGCAACTAAATTTGGGTAGGGTAAATGTCTATCATCATTATTTCTCAGTTTTCTCTACCTACATCTAAGGTTGTCGTAAAACGGATTTTCAACTGGCCTTTTAACAAAAGTGGGTACGAAAATTAGGTAATAATTCAGGTGGAATCTCTCTGATTTCTAGCTTGATTATCTCTCTATCCACCCCTTTCCTTCCCCGGCTTTCACCCACTTACTATGATACTCTTGACTGGTTATTTTGCAGTAAACTTAAGTTCGCCTGAGACAACAAAGGCGCCTCGTTTTCTTTTTCCTGAGATTGCTGAAAACCCAATGAACCAAAGCGTTTTCATTGGCTCCAATGTAACTTTCAACTGCACTGCCACGGGTATTCCTACACCAGCCATCTCATGGATGAAGAACAACAATTCCTCTGACGTAACATCCAATGTGAGGGCAAATGTCCAAGGCGATAAAAACAATCACAGTCGGCTGATAATAACGGAAGTAAAGAAGGAAGATAGTGGTAGATATCAGTGCGTTGCAACCAACAGTGCTGGTAAGAGGACATCGTCAGAGGCGTTCTTGCACACAGAAGACTTGGGTAAGACTTCCTTATATTTTTAACAGATTAAAATGGCAAAGAAATATGTAATAAAAACTAAAATTTTTTGAATCGTTTCTGGGATTTTCCGAGGTTTAAATATCTTTAAAACCGACGTTTCGACCAGTTTTACTTGTCTTCCTCAGGTTGTTTAAATGTTGTCAATATGGCGGATTGTTTAGTCTTTCAGCTTGGTGACCGCACATGTTGTCAATATGGCGGATTGTTTAGTCTTTCAGCTTGGTGACNTAACTAGATACAGGTCTCTATCACAACAAGGTCATCTTTAGCCTCACTCTGAATCAAAGGCTTGGCAACTAAGTACACAACTGTAAAATGGCCTACAACAATACGACTCTTGACTGTTTATTTTGTAGAAAAGGTTAGTCCGCCTGAGACCACAAATGCGCCTCATTTTCTTTTTCCTGAGATTGCTGAAAACCCAATGAACCAAAGCGTTTTCATTGGCTCCAATGTAACTTTCAACTGCACTGCCACGGGTATTCCTACACCAGCCATCTCATGGATGAAGAACAACAATTCCTCTGAGGTAACATCCAATGTGAGGGCAAATGTCCAAGGCGATAAAAACAATCACAGTCGGCTGATAATAACGGAAGTAAAGAAGGAAGATAGTGGTAGATATCAGTGCGTTGCAACCAACAGTGCTGGTAAGAGGACATCGTCAGAGGCGTTCTTGCACACAGAAGACTTGGGTAAGACTTCCTTATATTTTTAACAGATTAAAATGGCAAAGAAATATGTAATAAAAACTAAAATTTTTTGAATCGTTTCTGGGATTTTCCGAGGTTTAAATATCTTTAAATCCGACGTTTCGACCAGTTTTACTTGTCTTCCTCAGGTTGTTTAAATGTTGTCAATATGGCGGATTGTTTAGTCTTTCAGCTTGATGACCGCACATGACGTTTCGTGATTATTACACGACCTTTAAACGATGTCAGATTGCGCGGGAAACGTAGTCTGACGTCTGTCAAGTACTTCTACTTTTGTGATAATTCACTGCCTATTACAGTCTTTTTTCATGATCAAAGAAGGAGTTTAAGACTTGTTTCCATGTTTCAACCAGTCCTAAACTCCTCCTTTGATCATGAAAAAAGGCTGTAATAGGCAGTGAATTTTCAACCAGTCCTAAACTCCTTCTCTGATCATGAAAAAAGACTGTAAAAGGCAGTAAATTATCGCAAAAGTAGAAGTACTTGACAGACCTCAGACTACATTTCCCGCGCAATCTGACATCATTTAAACGTCGTGTAATAATCACGAAACGTCATGTGCGGTCACCAAGCTGAAAGACTAAACAATCCGCCATATTGACAACAATTAAACAGCCTGAGGAAGACCAGTAAAACTGATGGAAACTTCGGTTTTGAAGATATTTTAACCTCGGAAAATCCCAGAAACGATTCAAAAAATTTTAGTTTTTACAAATATGAGAGGTGAAAGTTTCAGGAATACGAATATGTAATAGATTCCAGATACCCAAAAGCCAGATATTTTTCAAGATCCCAGGAACCAAAGCCCTGTTGTTGGTTCTAAAGTAACTTTCTGCAATGCTACCGGTCCTCCCATGCCAACTGTAAAGTGGATAAAGAATAGTGATTTATGGGCTGTACAGTCCAACCCAAGCCTAAAAGTCATTCTGCGCGGGCGAGAAGTCACGCGTGTTAGCCCTCGCGCGCACGTGTAAATCGCCCTCTCGCCAATCGCGAACTAAGTAAGCTGAACGTAGTTAGGCCTTTGAAGAAACAGAAACTAGATGATCTCCATACGAAGTTGTCAGAAATTATTAGCTAGTCTTTCGGTTAAATCAATCCTCCGTAGTATTTTCATCGCAGTATGAATATTTTGTTGTCACTTCCCTTTTAGAATCCAAAATGAACCT